CACTTCACCAAAGAAGACATTCAGGCAGCTAACAGACACATGAGGAAATGCTCAACGATCATTAGTCATTGAAAAATGCAAATCAAAACTACAATGAGATATCATCTCAACCCAACAAGGCTGGAACTAACACAAAAAACACAAAATAACAAATGTTGGAGAGGTTGTGGGGAGATCAGAACTCTTATGCACTGCTCATGGGAATGTAAAATGGTACAACCACTTTGGAAAATGATTTGGCACTTCCTTAAAAAGCTAGAAATAGAAATACTATACGATCCAGGAATCCCACTCCTAGGAATATACCCAAGAGAAATAAGAGCTGTCACACAAATAGACATATGCACACATATGTTCACTGCAGCACTATTCACAACAGCAAAAAGACAGAAACAACCTAAATGTCTATTCACAGATGAATGGATAAACAAATTATAGTAGATACACACATTGGAATACTATGCAACGATAAAGAACAATGATGAATCTGCGAAACATCTCACAGCATGGATGAATCTGGAGGGCATTATGCTGAGTGAAATTAGTCAATCACAAGAGGACAAATATTGTATGAGACCACTATTATAAGAACTCAAGAAAAGGTTTAAACACAGAAAAAAGCATTCTTTGATGGTTATGAGGGTGGGGAGGGACCATGAGGGGAAATCACTAACTAGATAGTAGTCAAAGGTCAACTTTGGTGAAGGGAAGGACAACACACAATACAGGAGAAGTCAGAATAACTGGACCAAAGCAAAAGCAAAGAAATTTCCTAGACACATCCAAACACTCTGAGGGACAGAGTAGCTGGGGCGGGGCCTGGTGACCATAGTTTTGGGGGACATCTAGGTCAACTGGCATAACATAGTTTATCAAGAAATTGTTCTACATTCCACCTTGGTGAGTAGCGTCTGGGGTTTTAAAAGCTTGCAAACGACCATCTAAGATACATATATTGGTCCCATCCCACTCAGAGCAAAGGATAATGAAGAAAACCAAAGACACAAGGAAAATATTAGCCTAAGGGACTAAAGGGCCAAACGAACCAGAGACTCCACCAGCCCGAGACCAGAGGAACTAGATGGTGCCCAGGTACCACCAATGACTGCCCTGACAGGGAACACAACAGAGAGTCCTGGACAGAGTAGAAAAATGTAGAACAGAATTCAAATTCACATAAAAAGACCAGAGCAATGGTCTGACAGAGACTGGAGGAACCCCCAAAATTATAGCCCCCGGATGCTCTGTTAACCCAGAACTGAAACCATTCCCAAAGCCCACTCTTCAAAGATTAGACAGGACTATAAAACAAAAAATACTACACGTGAGGAACGTGCTTCTTAGTTCAATCAGATAAACGAGACCAAATGGGCAGCTCCTGTCCAAAAGCAGATGAGAAGGCAGGAAGGGACAGGAACTGGTCGAATGGACACAGGGAACCCAACCCAGGATAGACAGGGGGAGTGTGCTGTCACATTGTGGGGATTGCAACAAATGTCACAAAACAATATGTGTATTAATTTTTGAATAAGAAATTAATTGGAGCTGTAAACTTTCACCTAACGCACAATAAAAAAAAAAGAAAAAAAACAGATATCTGCTCTCCTGGTGCTTAGTCTTATTAGAGATACAGATCTTAACCAAAAATACAAACTGCAAATGTGATTAGTGCTATGAGAGTATATAACAGGGAAAGTTAACTTAGAGAGGTGTGGAAAAAGCAACCCTGAAGAATAAACAGCTGAGTTTACATCTAAAGTATAAGTAGGAATTAACTAGGAGGAAAGGAATATTCCAGGAAGAGAAAAGCATACATGCAATGACTATGTGACAGAAGTGGGCATAGTATATAGTTGAAACTCTAAGAAGGCACAGGGAGCAAAAGAAAATGTGGCCTGAGATGAAGCTGAAGATGTGGATAAACCACATAAAGTAGTTCTCTATCCCAAGAGCCATTAGGTTTTATGTAAGAGGGCAATAAAATCAGATCTGTGTTTTGAAAAGATCATCCTAGCTGCAGCATAAAGAGGGATAAGAATGGATACGGGTAGATCAGTTAGGATGAAATAGAGAGATTTAAGAGATATCTAGGAGTTTAAACTACTGTTGTTGTTGTTAGGTGCTGTCGAGTTGGTTCCAATTCATAGTGACCCTACATATAACAGAATGAAACACTGCCCAGTCCTGCGCCACCCTCACAATTGTTGTTATGCTTGAGCCCACTGTTGCAGCCACTGTGTCAATCCATCTTGTTGAGGGTCTTTCTCTTTTTCACTGACCCTCTTCTTTACTAAGCATGATGTCCTTCTCCAGGGACTGGTCCCTCCTGATAACATGTTCAGAGTACATGAGATGAAGTCTTGCCATTCTTGCTTCTAAGGAGCATTCTGGCTGTACTTCTTCTAAGACAGGTTTGTTCATTCTTCAGGCAGTCCATGGTACATTCAATATTAAAATAATAGGACTTCATAATGACTGCATGAGGAGGAGAGAAAAAGAGTTTTCAAGGATGACTCAGGTTTCTGCCTCCTATTTCTTGAGTCTGTTCTATGTGCCACACACTGTGATAGATTCTTGTATTTAACCCCTACAACAATCCTATGAAATTAGTATCATTTCTCCAGTCTACCTCTCCATGTAAAGTAGGAGACCTGGAGTCTCAGATCAGAATTCCATGAGGCAAAAAGCAAGGTGTTGCAGTGGTTTTATGCAAGATTTCTGTTGCTCCTGGTAGAGTGCCCCAAGGACTATTTCATAGTATGGTTTGAGATTAGTCTTTAAAAGCCCTATTTTACAGACATCTTCATGCCCTGGTACATCCCTCTGCTCATGTTTACTACCCCAGAGTCTACCATAAAATGATCATCTCGTAGAATTACATGTAGCCTGGTTCTATCTCCAGACTACATTTCAACAAGAAAAGGCCCACTACTACAAAGCCAACACTAACAAATGACAAAAAAACAGTGGGAGCCCACTGGAAAAGATGTCATGTCTGGTTATTTTCCTGTCACATTTACACGAACTTTCCCTTCAGTCTACAATGTCTTTCTCACACTTCACCATGACCTTCAAAAACTTAACCCCTACTGGTCCTTGAAGTGAGCCCTGGTGGTGCAGTGATTCAGAGCTATGGCTGTTAACCAAAAGGTCAGCAGTTCAAATCCACCAGCTGCTCCTTGGAAACTCTATGGGGCAGTTCCACCCTGTCCTACAGGGTTGCTATGAGTCAGAATTGATTCGATGGCAATGGGTTAGGTTCTTTTAGTTTGATCCTTGAAGATTTAGTTCAACATCATCTCCTCTGATAATCCTTCCCTGGTGCCTCTAATATGCACTAGCAACATATTATATTATTATAATATAGTTATTTACCACACATCATAATTTTAACTTTACTCAACTCTTTCCCACATTCGAATGTGAAATCCTTCGAACAAGGAATGTGTTTTACTCATTTTTGCCACCTAATTCCAAGCACAGTAGATATTAAATGATTGACTATCTGACTCATTAAATGAATGAATCAATCAACCATTAATCACTCCATTATGACAGGACATCCCTTGGTCACATCTATCACTCACAAAACACTAAATATAACTACAATGTGTAAAGAAATCAAGAAATCAACAATTTGCAGAGAGTAACTCAACAGCATAAGAAAATTTTCTAATTAGAGCTACATAATAAAATTGAGAATTCAAGAAATTTAGGCCTCCTCACTTGTGGAGCCAATGTTCTTGACACTACAAGGAACTATATCACCACAAAGACAAGCAGTGGCTGTTGGAAAAGAGACATAAGACAGAAAAGAAAAAATACATATTTTTTCTTACACTTTAACCAAAATTACCAAAAAATAACAATTTTAGAAGTTTCTCATTTTATTTTTCTATACTATCTCTTACCAGTAAGCAGTGCTGATGGCAAAAAAGGTGAGAATCAAGAGGAAAAAGGAGGAGAAACAAACAATGAATCACAAAATTGATATCCAAAAAAGATATATATATACACACACACATCAATTCAAATTACTCACTGTCAACAAAGGTATAGTTTATCGTCTCTTGAACAGTCTCAGGATCTACAAAGATATTCATACTACTCAAAACTGGAGCCAATTCATCAGTTGCAACTTGACCATCTTTTATTCTACAGAATATCTTCAAGGCATCCTGGAATGCTGCAAAACCAATTAACAAAGAAATAATTCTAACATAAGAATCAACAGCTTCTCTTGGAGAAGGAACTGATTTTGTGTCAATAACCTACTAGGGGAAAAAAAACTAACATAGGCATAGTGTACTTTAAAAATTTACTTCCAAGTAGGCATTTGCCCAAAATCTGGCCATATTTCTAGTATAAAAACTGATTTTTGTTATTATCACTACTAGTATTATTTTACTAATAAAAATGTTGTTGTTAGGTGCTGTCAAGCCAGTTCTGACTCATAGCAACCCTACAGAACAGAGTAGAACTGCCCCCATAGGGTTTCCAAGGAGAGACTGGTGGATTTGAACTGCCGACCTTTTGGGTAGCAGCTGTAGCTCTTAACCACTGTGCCATCAGGGTTCCACTAAGAAAAATATCTGATGTTTACTGAGCACTGACTATGTGCCAGACACACAGTATGGGATATCTCATTCAATCATCATGTAAATCTTTGGTTAGGAAAGCCAAGCAAGCAAAGAAGAACCAGGAGGAACCAGATATCATAGGAGTTCATCAAAATACCAAGTAGGAAGTAAGGAATCAAAAAGGAAAAAGCAAGCCAAGCATCATATCTGTATTGTTCATTGTTGCATATGGTCAGTATTTAATAATATTTACTACATAAATTAATAAACACTGAATAGTTTTTCCTGCCTCTTAACTTGGTTAACCAGGGATATGAAGACTACTATCTTCATATAGCCTTAATTCTAAGAAAATACAGTCTAAAAGTGTATAATTCCAAGGACTGATCATGGGTACTTTACCTTGCTTAATGGAGAAACACAGGAAATGCTTAACTCTGGTCATGGACACTAGAGGTCTTCTCAAACTTTTGGAACCACTATTTCTAGCATTAACATGAATAGTTCTTCCAAGCACTTTCTTTACAATTTATATGTAATGTTAACTCAAAGTTATTAGGAGACCCGTAAGTATCTGCCATTTTTAGGGAGAAATACAGATTTCAGACACAGTGAAGAAACTGTTAAGGGTAGAGAACAAAAGAGGTGTGAGACATCAACAGGAAAAAAAAAATGAACAAAGGCACAGAAATAAGAATGATATCGGCATGTGTGAAGATTTATGACTAACTGGAGCATAGGGTTCTTGCCTGGGAAAGATCCTGTGAAGAAGAGAGGAGCAGTGAGCCAAACTATGAAAAGGTGAGAAAGACAAGCATAACAGTTTGGATTAGGTTCATTTGTTAATAAGAAAAGCATCTAAATTCTTGAGTAGGAGAGTAACACGGCAAAAACAGTGTTTTAAGAGGATTAGTCTAGCAGTTGTATGCAGGGTAAAGCAGGGATTAGAGATACAAAGTTACGATGGTATGGCAGCAATCCAGGTTTTTAAATGCCTTTTATGAAACAACTCATGTCTAATTGTTCTCAACCTAAACTAGGAAAAATGGAGTTAAGAAACACACAAATTCATATACCCACTCCATCCAAAAATCAATTACTATCACAATTATCCTCTTCTATACTTTTGAAGAATAGTCTTTTACCTGGATCCTGAGAGACCCAATAAGAAACATCATTCAAAGCCTTAAGGAAAGTTGAAAAATCCAGCAGTCCATTACCTATAAGAATGGTTGAGAAACCAGGAAAAAAACTGTATCAACATACTTATTATCAGAAACTCACTAAGAACATAAGATAAAAATCCGAACTAAAAATACAAATAGAATTAACTGATGACATTACAATACCATAGTCTATACACAAGAGCAGTCCACACTAACATTAAATATGGAATGTAAAAAAGAAAATGTAAATTAAAACTATAATGAGATACCACTACACATCTATTAGAATGACTATAATTTAAAAAGGCTGACCACATCAAGCGTTTGCAAGAATGTTTTACAACTGGAACTCTCATATTGCTGGTGGAACGGTAAAATGGTACAATCACTTCACAAACACAGCTTGGCAGTTTCTTAAAAAGTTAAACACACATTTAGGATATGACCCAACCATTCTACTACTAGGTATTTACCCAAGAAAAATGAAAGCATATGACCACACAAAGACAGCCACTTGAATGTTTACACCAGCTTTATTTATAACAGTCAAAAACCACAAACAACCCAAATGTCCACCAATTAATGAATGGATAAACAAATTGTAGTATATCCATATAATGGAATACTATTCGGCAATAAAAAGAAATGAACTATTGATAAATACAAAAAATTGATGAATCTCACCAAAATTAAGCTGTGAAAAAAAAGCAGACAAAAAACTAGTACATACTACATGATTCCATTTATGTAAAATTCTAGAAATGCAAACTAAAGTGACAGAAAGGAGAGCAATGTTTGCCTGGGGACGGAGATGGGGCAGGTATGGAGAGGGAGACAGAGTTTACAAACGGGTATGAGGAAACTCGGAGTGATGAACATGTTCACTATCTTGATTGTGATAATGGTTTCACAGTCGTCTTAGTCATCTAGTACTGCTATAACAGAAAAACCACAAGTGAATGACTTTAACAGAAATTTATTCTCTCACAGAATCATGTACAATCTCCTTGATGTCATTCCACAACTCATCTGGTCTTCCGTCATTAGTGTTCAATGCATCTGTCAGTCTGTCATACTGTGGGGGCTCACCTGTTGCTGTGACGCTGGAAGCTATGCCACAAGTAGTCAAATACCAGCAGAGTCACCCATGTCAGACAGATTTCAGCTGAGCTTCCAGACTAAGACAGACTAGGAAGAAGGACCTGGCAGTCTACTTCTAAAAAGAATTAGCCAGTGAAAACCTTATGAATAGCAGTGGAACAATGTCTGATACAGTGCCAGAAGATGAGCCCCAATGGTTGGAAGGCACTCAAAAGATGACTGGGAAGAGCTGCCTCCTCAAAGTAGAGTCAATCTTAATGACATCAATAGAGTCAAGCTTTCAGGACCTTCATTTCTGCTGTGGCATAACTCAAAATGAGAAGAAACAGTTGCAAACATCCACTAATAATCAGAACTTGAAATGCAGAAGTATGAATCTAGGAAAACTGGAAATCGCCAGAAATGAAATGGAACGCATAAACATCGATATCCTAGGCATTAGTGAGCTGAAATGGACTAGTATCTGCCATTTTGCATCAGACAACATATGGTCTACTATGCCAGGAATGACAGTTTGAAGAGGAATGGCATTGCATTCATCTTCAAAAAGAACATTTCAAGAACTATCCTGGAGTACAATGCTGTCAGTGATAGGATAACATCCATGCACCTACAAGAAAGACCAGTTAATATGACTATTATTCAAATTTACACACCAACCACTAAGGTCAAAGATGAAGAAACTGAAGATTTTTACCAACTTCTGCAATCTGAAATCGATCAAACAGGCAATCAGGATGGATTGATAACTACTGGTGACTAGAATGCAAAAGTTGGAAACGAAGAAGGATGGGTACTTGGAAAATATTGTCTTGGTGATAGAAACTACGCCGGAGATCTCACGATGGAATATTGCAAGACAAATGACTTCTTCTTCGAAAATACCTTTTTTTAACAACATAAACGTCGGCTATACACGTGGACCTCACCAGATGGAATATATAGGAATCAAATCGACTGTATCTGTGGAAAGAGATGATCAAAAAGCTCAATATCATCAGTCAGAACAAGGCCACGGGCTGACTGAGGAACAGACCATCAACTGCTCATATACAAGGTCAAGTTGAAACTGAAGAAAATTAGAACAAGTCCATGAGAACCAAAGTACAACTTTGAGTATATCCCACCTGAATTTAGAGACCATCTCAAGAATAGATTTGGCGCATTGACAGTGAGCCTAGCTCCACCAATAAGTGCTTAGAGGTACCCTACTCCACCAGGAAGCCTCCTGCGCAAAGGTACTCAAATCTCTTGCTTCGTGGGTCGGCTGGGCTCCTGGTTCTGCTGCTGCCATTTCTCTGATGCTGCTTCTTGCCATCTGTGCCATCTCCAGTGTAACAGCTCCCCTCACTTCCTTCTGAGTCCTCACCAGAATTGTCTTTGACATCCCTAATTACACCAACAGTCTCTTCAAGGCAATATAGGCTTTTGTTATTAGGCATTTTAAAATTCTTCTAGCCTCTATTCATTCAGTTTCAAAACTGCTTCCACATTTTAGGCATCTGTTAAGCAGCACCCCACTCCCAGTACCAAATTCTGTCTTCGTCATCTAGTGCTGCTGTAACAGAAATACCACAAGTGGATGGCTTTAACAAACAGAATTCTATTCTCTCACAGTCTAGGTGGTTAGAAGTCCAAATTCAGGGTGTCAGCTCCAAGGGAAGCCTTTCTCTCTCTATCTGCCCTCGGGGGAGGTCCTTGTCATCAATCTTCCCCTGCTCTAGGAGCTTCTCAGTGCAGGGACCCTGAGTCCAAAGGGCGCGCGCTCCTGGCTCTACTTTCTTGGTGGTATGAGGTCCCCATGTCTCTCTGCTCGTTTCTCTCTTTTATATCTCAAGAGAGATTGACTTAAGACACAATCTAATCTTGTAGATTGAGTCCTGCCTCACTAACATAACTTCAAGTAATCCTGCCTCGTTAACATAGAGTAGGATTTACAACACATGGGAAAATCATATCAGATGACAAAATGGGGGACAATCACACAATACTAGGAATCATGGCCTAGCCAAGTTGACACATATCTTTGGGGGACACAATTTATCAAATTGTACACTTTAAATATGTGCAGTTTATTGTGTCAATTATGTCAATAAAACTGTGAAAACATACAAAAAGTTTTTAAAAACCAGCACATTAGAAAACTCCATACTTTGCTCCCTCTTTTTGACAAAAACTCTTGAAAAGGCAATAACTCAAGCTTCTGATTCTGATAAAAATGGCAATTTTAACAGCCATATATGTTTTTCAGAATTTTTGCATAATTAATTAATTAATGTCAATATGAAGCAATGAGTCATGACATAGGAAGATTATTTCTTCATCAAAGGAGAAAGCCAGCTGTCTGAGGTGCACTGTGGTTGCACATAATAGCCAGATTTTTCTTCAAATGAAAGCTTTCCTCTTAAAAAAAAAACTTGCCACCATTCTGAAGATGTCACAGACTTATGAAATTTCTAAATGGTGCTTACAAAATACGACTCTTCTTTGATTCATCAGTGTGCAAGAGTTAGGTTGCATTGGGAAACATCAGTAATTTTATCCACTTTTATGCTGAAGAGAAACGGCACAGCTTACAAATAGATCTTATTTGATTGTGTCATCGCACTTGTAATAGCATGATAGTTAAAAAACAGGAACTAACTAGACTAGCAGATAGATACAAAGAGTTTCATCTAATTGCATGAAGGGAAAGAGTACAGCTACTACTTTTTCTAATACCTCCTTTAAAACATTTAAAAAAAAAAGTATCTAGAGTTCTGGGGTGAATAAAACATTTTATAGAAACTCAGCTTCAATTTTCTTGCTCTAATCCAAGCCACAAATTAGGTCAATCATTTTCAGGGTGCATAAACAAGGATTCTCTAATCATGTGTGTGGCTTGCATGCTTGGTAAACAATCCTGTAAAATGCTTCAAGACAGACCATGTGGTCAAGAAAATCCAAGTCTGGAAAAATCCCTGCCTTTAAAAATCAGGGCTTTTTTTTTTTTTTTTTTTTTTTTTACAAAAAAGACCCACACTTTGTGACGTCCTTTCGAGATAGTAAAAAGGAACTTCTTCATCGTTATGCTTATGTTAGCAAGAAGTGTCTTAAAAAGCACTCTAGCTTTTATATCCCATTATGTTCAGAGATGAAAGTAAAACCAAAAAGTTCACAAGCTTTGATGTACTTTTTGTCTGACATTTTTCAACTTAAACTAGCTTAATTTATACAAAGACAGATGTCTATAGTCATAATGGCACAGTGCTCTTAATTCCTATCAATAGCAAACTATGTAACTGGCCATAAAATATTGACAAAATGATGTGCACCTAACCTGACCCTATAAAAAACTTAGTAATCCATTCCATCCTATACTTTTCTGGGGTAAACAATACCTTAGTACATAATTTAACATAAATCACTTTCCCATGGGCAATTTTCAGGGTTATAAGAAAGAAATCAAAGAAAAAAAAAATCACACTGAGAGGGGCCAGTTCGTGGACCACCTAAAAAGCATCCACGGATTAACTAAAGGCAATAATTTGTAATCAATACAAGTTTAGAACCTCTATTTCTAAAGGGCACTCATGGTCATTGCTTTGGGACTATAGGTACAAAAAATGTTTTGTTTGTTTGCTTTCTTGCTTGTTTTGGAAGTTTTTGTTGTTGTTATTGGGCGATGGGAGACAATTTTGCAGTACCTATCAAAGTTTGATATGTGTATATCCTTTCACACAGCGTTTTCATTTCTTGAAATTTATCTTATAGAAATACTTGCACGAATATCCAAGAAGTGAGGTACAAGGAGGTTCTTTGTAGCATTATTTGTAGTAGCAAAAATTTTAAAGGCAACTTCACCATTAATAAATACGAGACTGGTTAAAAATCATTATACACACACACACATACATACAGGTCAGGAAGGATATCTATCAAATTATTAACAGTGTTTACCTCTAGGGATTGTAGGAAAAGTCTGGGGCAAACAGACAATTTTTATATTTTAATATATAACCACCTTCTGTGAGCTAAAAACACTAAATAAAGAAAAATTCTAGAAGTCAAAACAGACCATAAACAGAATGTTACTAAACAATCTAATAGTAACTGGCAAGTTGCAATTGTATGCATGAATCCATTCATCTACCCACCAGGTCACCCAACATTTTTTGAGCATCTACTATGTGAAAGCTTTCTAATGGTATAAAAATAAATAAACGTGTACCTAATTTTTAAGAAGCTCAAAGCACAACCCTATTTTTTTTACGTTTAGCTATCTATTATGTTAATTGGTTTTTGACATATACAAAATAATGGCAGGACACAACTATATCAGTTATTCAACTTCTTCTTGTACTGACATTTATTACCAAGGTGTTCAATTCAGTGTTACATTATTTCCATTGCAAAAATTAAAGAGCAAAAGTTTAAATATGTGTCATCTAAAACTGGTTGTATGGCTTTAGACCAGAATCTTCACCTTTCTATCCCTCAGTTACTCCCACAGTAAATCTGGGTGATTAGAACAATTTCTAAAGTCCTGAATTTCTAAAGTTCTAAAGTTTTATTATTCTGAATTTATAATATTATTATTCTTTAAAAGCCTTAAAAAGTTCACATTCTTTCACCTAACAATTTCAATTTTAGTTATCTATCTTAGCTTGTCTGATGAGAGAAAGTGAGAACAGCACTCTTCATAATAGCAAAAATATTAGAAATAACCTATATGACCATCAACAGAAATTTTACTTTGAAAACAAATCTGTTCTAGAGAATAACTCACAGCCATTGAAAATGGCAGTGTAGATCTGTATTTATTCACATGGAAAGTTGACTACAGTACAATGTAACAGAAAAGGGTAATAAAACTGTATGCATGTCAGTCCATACCTGTCTGTAAAAATCACTTATTCATATGTGTGTATACACCACAGTTATACACACACACACACACACACACACACACACACATAAAAACACATATTCTTAGAAAAAGTCTAGAAAGACATACACCAAAATACCAATAGTTGGCTCTGAGTAGTGAGATTACAGGTGATTTTGACTTTCACCTTTAGATTCTTCTGTGCCTTTAATAAATGAAGTTATTTCTACTTTAGAAAAAATATTTTAATATAAATCTCAAAAAAATTATGTCAAAAACCAATTAACATAATAGATAACTAAACATAAAAAAAATAGGGTTGTGCTTTGAGCTTCTTAAAAATTAGGTACACGTTTATTTATTTTTATACCATTAGAAAGCTTTCACATAGTAGATGCTCAAAAAATGCTGGGTGACCTGGTGGGTAGATGAATGGATTCATGCATACAATTGCAACTTGCCAGTTACTATTAGATTGTTTAGTAACATTCTGTTTATGGTCTGTTTTGACTTCTAGAATTTTTCTTCCATGATTTTTTTACAGTCATAAATCCACATTTTATTTCTGAGCAGTTTGATGTTTTCAACCTTAGAGTACTACTTTGCATTTGGGTGTACTAAATTTATTTTAATTTCTGACTATTCCTTCCACTTACCTATGTCATTTTTATTCTAAACTTATCTCTCCTTAACAAGCTTGGGATAGTCTGTAAATGTAGTGAGTTCTCTGTTCTCCACTTCTTAAAGTATCAGACATTGATTACAAAAGAATAATTATCTTTCTACGTGCTTAAAATGTGGTTATTAGGATCTTGGTTTGAATTTCCTTGACTATCATCTTTTTTATATGATTATTGGCTACATGTGTTTCCTTTTCTGTGAAATATTTGTTCAGTTTCTTGCCCATTTTTCTATTCCATTGTTTGCTATTGATTTGTATTTTTACATTTGGCATTCTTAAAACTAACCCTTTGTCAGTTGTGTGAATTGGAAATATCTCCTCCAAGATTGTAACTGGTCTTTTCACTTTAAGGTGTCTTTTGATGAACAAAATTTCTTAATTTTAATATAGTCAAATACATCAAACCTTTTTTGCCTTGTTTAAGAAATTTTCCCTACCCCACAATATCATTTCACATTCATGTAACTAGCAAAAATTAAAATAGTGAAAATACCAAATAGAAAGTTGATCTACAGGATACCTTATTCAGGTATGTTGCTGGTGAATGTGTAAAGTGGTGTAACTTCTCTAGAAAACAGTATGACATTAATTCATATACCTCTAGTTCTACTGTGGGTATATACCCAAAAGAAACTCTGTACGTGTGTATTAGGAAACACATGCAAGACAGACATGGCAAACAGCAATCACAATAACTAAAACCTGGAAAACCCAAGTGCTTATCAGTGAGAGAGTACATGAGTGAACTGTGATATTCACACATGATAATATTATACAAACAAGTAAACTAAAGCAGAACGCAACAATATGAATAAGTTTTAGCCATATAATATTAAGTGAAAAAGCCCCAAAATATTACATACATCATGGATGAACTTTTTAATAAAGCTAAAGACAACTAAAATTTTGAAAATATTCTGTGTTGTTATTAGGTGCTATTGAGTCGGTTCCAACTCATGGCGACCCTATGTACAACAGAAACAAAACACTGCCTGGTCCTGCGCCATCCTCACAATCATTGTTATGCTTGAGCTCATTGTTGCAGCCACTGTGTCAATCCATCTCTTTGGCAGTCTTCCTCTTTTTCACTGACCCTCTGCTTTACCAAGCATGATGTCCTTAACCAGGGACTGGTCCCTCCTGATAACATGTCCAAAGTATTTGAGACAAAGTCTCATCATCCTTGCTTCTAAGGAGCATTCTGGCTGTATTTCTTCCAAGACAGATTTGTTCTTTCTTCTGGCAGTCCATGGTATATTCAATACTCTTCAACAACACCCTAATTCAAAGGCATCAATTCTTCTTCGGTCTTCCTTATTCACTGTCGAGCTTTCGCATGCCTATGATGCGATTGAAAACACCAAGGCTTGGGTCAGGCACACCTCAGTCCTTAAAGTGACATCTTTGCTTTTTTAACACTTTAAAGAGGTCTTCTGCAGCAGATTTGCCCAATGCAATGTGTCATTTGATTTCCTGACTGCTGCTTCCATGGGTGTTGATTGTGGATCCAAGTAAAATGAAATTCTTAACAACTTCAATATTTTCTCTGTTTATCACAACACTGCTTATTAACCCAGTTGTGAGGATTTTTGTTTTCTTTATGTTGAGGTGTAATCCATACTGAAGGCTGTAGTCTTTGTATACTTTACAAAAATACAAATCCATACAAAAAACTATATAAAAAGGTAAGCATGAACCTTGAAAACCTTATGCTGAGTGAGATAAGTCAGACACAAAAGGACAAATAGTATAGATCCCACTTATATGAAATATTTACCATAAGCAAATGCATAGAGATGAATGTTTATTAGTGGTTACTAAGGACCAGGGAGAGTGGATAATGAGGCATTATTGTTGAAGGTATACTGAGTTTCTGTTTAGGGTGATAAAAAACTTTTAGGAATAGATAGCAGTGATGGTAGCACAACCTGGTGAATTTAATTAGTGTCACTGAACTGTGTACTTCAAAATCATTAAATGGTAAACTTTTCATTATATATTTTTTTGATCACAATAAAAAAAAAAGGTAATGATAAGCACAGGATTCAGAATACTGCTTACCTTAGATTGGGGGAGGCAGTAAAATAGTCTGTTTGGGGGACTTTACGGTTAGATATGTTATTGTCAAGATCCTAGTTTTTATTTTGGGTAGCGGATCCAAGATATTTACTACATTATTAAACTAACATTAAATAACTAAATAAAATTAGGCCATGCATGGACCAGTGATGAGAGTATGTCATAATCCAGTTCAATAAACAATCAATCCAATTCTGTGCACCTGAGGCCCAATTTTTAATGTCCTTATTGTAAATGTAGCCCCCAAAATTATGTTTTTATAATACATTTTTAAAACTTAGCATTTATGTATTTGTAATCTGACCAACATAACAACTTATATCCATGCTTGCAGACCCTTAGACTAATAATGAAAACAAGAACTTACCATCAATACCAATAGTCTTTAGTGCCTGTCGCATTTCTGAATCATTTACAGAAATCTTCAAGGTGCATAGGATCACTGGCAGATCATTCACGTAAATCTTACCATTCTGAATTTTACTAAAAAGTTTACAGGCTTTCTGAAGTGCTATAGACATATAACAAAACATATGGCTAATTAATTCAGAGGAATGATTATACTTCACCCCCCCCCACGTTCTCAAGGGTGACAAAAAAAAACAATAATAACTGAAAGAAGAAAGGGGACTAAATCTTTGTTTTCTAGATTCACTGCTTTAAAGTTGATCTTCATTACTTACGTAGGTATGTCTGGAGCCAGTAAACTCTCAGTCTACCACAATTTTCTAAGGAACTCTCAGAAACTGTCAGGGAAGTCATACAGGGCTCACATAGGCAAAGACTTCCACAGCTTTCCCCGGGAATATTAAATCCGTTCTCTGTGTTCCTATAGCACTTAGTACATATCTCACTCACAGCTCTTGGTATTGTGATTGTTTGCATGTCAGTAGTCAATATCCCTCACTAAACTGTCAGCTTCTAGAGGGCAAGATTTTTCATTCTTCTATTATAAGTAGCTATTTCAAAATAGATTCCCAAAACGTTTGTTGAATTAAATTGAGTTCAATTTTTACTTAAAAATAAAAAAAGGTAATAGATGACAGTGTTAAATACAGAGACAGACCTAAAAATAGGTAATAGTGATTTCAATAACAGGAGTTTTAGCAGAGTGATGGAAATGAAAGCCAAATTTCAGTAAAATGGGAAGTAAATAGAGTAATTAATGAAAACTCTTTTAAGAAGCTTCCCTGGGAAACATAGAGTATAAAAATTGATAAAGCATAGTCCCTGAGGAAGCAGAAGAAAATTTGATCCAAATGACGAGTGACAGGTTTAGTCTGGTGGAAGGGAACCTTTTCCAATGAGAAGAGGGTAGGATGTTCAGGAAGATTCTGCCCAACAGCCTAAATTTGAAGGAGAGGCCCAAGATATGATAGAGGTCAGTGTCAAAAAGGAGTGAAGGGTAGTATCAGATTTAATATTTAGATACCAAAGACTAAATTCAAATGAAATCAGTGACACCAGTGCTTACTAATTTACTTAGAGTATGTAAATATCCTGACTTTCCCCCAAAAAAAAATTTGGACTGGAATAAGTATATGTAAAATATTTTTTGCCTATTTTACCAATACAGCACAATAGTTACAGATTAAACTCTCACCTTATGCTTCCTCACAGCCTACAGCATTTGCCATATCATGTAGTATTAGCTGATACCATAAGCCACTAAGAGAGTACAGTTAGAGACACTGACCACTGAAACAAGTCTTAATCATAAAATCTATTCAAGAAATTCTAGAACTTTTTATTACCATTTAGCTCTTGTGAGTACAAGTGTCCGCAGGGTACTTCATCATATAACGTCTGATAGAGTTTAGAAAGTGTTTCCTTTTTCCTGTCAAAGAAACAGCCACATTAGAAAGCAGCAAAGAAAATATACAAAATCCCATTTTAAGGTATTCGCAAATCAAGCACTCAATAGTCTTCTATTCTTCAATTCTCTTACTCCAGAGAGTCTTTCTTGAAAAAAATCTAGAAACCTCTTAAAGAATCATTATACTGGGCTCTAACTTAACTATATTTCTGATATAAATTTGCTTTTTGAAATTAAATTACACTCCAACATTCCCATCTTGTTTCCTTTAGGTGGTATTTCTCCATGGAGCAGAATTTACCCTAGTCGGTAAGTAGTGCCCATGGCCCACTCTATCCTTTGGCTGTGATACAACTTTTCCTACTTTTAATTCAATTTTTAAAGAATATTAGTGTAATAAGGCAAACAAGAACATATGTAAACAGCCAAAGAATTCCAGATTCTATCACCTCTTAGTAAAAAGGTCTCAAAAAGACAATTCATCTGATACCATACATGTAAATAATTGAAATTTTAGAATGTTACTGTTGGAAGAAATCTTAGGAGTCCATCTAGTAAAAGCTTCTTGTTGTACAGATGTGGAATCTAAAGCTTAGAGATGTAAAGTGAATTATACATGAGCCTACAGCTAGCATGTGAGGTCAATCAGGACTCCAATCAGCACTCTTATCTCTACACTACCCTTGTGAAGAAGATAGTCACTTACTTTGCACAAACTATCTGGCATTCTTTGTATGGAAGAGATAAATGATTCTAGAAAGAAAAATCTCAAGTCTGAACCCTACATTCAAGGAACAAAATACAATGATTTAAATACCCAGTAATTGAAGATTTTCTTATAGGTGATGAAGTCCTGTGAACTCTGTACTGATTCGGCAACTTACATAAAGAGCTTTCTTTCTTAGTTATCTTCTCCTTTGACAGCTTCACAGAGGAAGAGATAATCTGGAGCCAAATGCAACAATGTATTTATTTAGTGTCTGAGATAACATTGGTAATCTAGAAACCTCTTAAAAAATAATTAGTTATACTGGCCTCTAACTTAACTATTCTTCTGATGCAAAATTGCTTTTTGAAATTAAATTACATTTTATATACACTGAATTTTTAAATAAACTATACAGTATTCTTCTGCAAAGCTATGTTTTTCTTAAGTATGCAACTAATTATCTCCTAATTAATATTTAGTTGATTATAGTCATGAATCTTACAAAGCAGAGAAAACCTACGGTAGAATGAGAACAAGATGACTTAACCACCAGACTCTAGAGTACGTACACAAGCCTTGACTATCTGTGCAAATTAATGTGAGAAATAATACAGTTATTCAAATGATACAGGTAATTTTTCTTTAAATTATCCTTATGATTGACTAATCCACTTAATATTGCATGCATAAACAAGATTCAACACTCCTGAGGTTCACCCTTCAGCCAAAGATTAGACAGGCCCATAAAACAAAACAAGACTAAATAGGCACACCAGCCGAGGGGCAAGGACAAGAAGGCAGGAGGGGACAGGAAAGCTGGTAATGGGGAATCCAAGGTCGAGAAGAGGACACTGTTGACATGTCAGGGGGTTGGTAACCAATGTCACAAAACAATATGTGTATTAATTGTTTAATGAAAAACTAGTTTGCTCTGTAAACCTTCATCTAAAGTACAATTTTTTAAAAAAAAGAATCTTAAAAAAAAAAAGATTCAAAAGAGACAAGCTGTTAGGCAGATTAAAAAAATACCACTTTAAAAAATGAGGACTCCAGTTGTAGGTGTCTTCAATTTTACTTTTAAAGATCATGCAGAGTATGGAGACAAGACTCTAGGATCACACAAGGTTGGGAATTGGTACTGAGATTCCACGTACAGCCAAAATCTTCAAAAGGCAATGTTTCCAGCAAGAGTGGGCAAGGGAAAAACTTATCCTCTAACAGAAAGAGGATGGAGAGTAACATCTATCTCTGTCTCAGCTCCAGATAGAAAAAAAGAAAGGAATAAAACACCCAAGGACACAAGTTACTATGAGTGAGAATCAGAGAAACAACTAATGGAAGATTTAGATCCACCAAGAACTTTATATATTTGACTTAAAGATATAAATCTTGAAACAACTATGGAACATGAGCTAAGAACATGACATAAGGCATATTTAAAGAAGAACCAAATAAAACTTCTAGATATAAAAAATATAATTTCTGAAATTAAAATCTCAAAGGACAGACTAACAGAAGATAGATTCAGCTGAAAAAAGGGTAAGTGAACTAGAGAACAGATGGGGTGAAATTACTCAGAACAAAATAGAGAAAAATCTAAAGCAATGTTAAAGAACATAGAGTTCATCTATGATAAGGTCTAATATATATATAATAGAAGACCCAGAAGGACAGAATAAAGAGATTGGAGTAAAGGAAATATTCTAAAAGACACTGCATAAGAATTTTCCAGAATTGATGGAAAGCATGCATTCTCAATTCAGGAAACACAACAAACACAAAGACTGAGAAATAAAAACAAATATAAACCTATGTATATCCTAGTGAGAGCAGTAGAAAGAATGGTGGTGTGATGGTTAAGGTTGTGTGTCAGCTTGGCTGGGCCATGATTCTCAGTGGTTTGGCAGCTATGATGCAGTCTGGCAGTTGTGTAATGATGTAGTCATCTTCCATTTTGTGATCTGATGTAATCACCTCCATGATGTGATCAGTCAATCAGTTGCAGGAGGAGTTTCCTCAGGGGTGTGGCCTACATCCAATATATATGGATGTTCTGGCAAAGTTCACTGGCTTTTGAGCTGGATCTCACATCTGGCTCATCATCATCTGACCTTCAGTTCTTGGGACTTGAGCCAGCAGGCTGTCATACTGCCTGCTGATCTTGGGATTCATTGGCCTCTGCAGCCCATGAGTCAGCAGCCTTCCATTTTACCTGCCAATCTTGGATTCATCAGCCTCTACAGCCTGTGAGCTAGTGTCCTGCCATCTGACCTGCTGATCTTGGGTTCATCAGCTGCTGCAGCTATGTGAATCAGGAGAAGCCTCCGGACTGACACCTGGCCAACGGACTTAGCATTTGCCCGCCTCTACAACCGTGTGAGCTATTTCCTTGAGATAATTCTCTCTCACTCTCTCTCCTTGTCTACGTGTATATATATATGTGTGTGTGTGTGTGTGTGTGTGTGTATGTATGTATTTATACAACTCTATATATATAGTTCTCTCTAGAGAACCCAGCCTAAGACAGGTGGCCACCCAAAAAGATTGTCCATGTCCTAATCCCCGGAACCTGTGAACGTGACCTTATTTGGAAAAAGAGTCATTACCAATGTAATCAAGTTAAATATATTGAGATGAGATCATCCCAGATTTAGAGTAGGTCCTGAATCCAATGACAGGCATCTTTATAAGAATAAGGTAGAAGGAGATTTGAGACACAAACTCATATGAAGACCCATGTGAAGACAAAGGCAGAAATTGTAGTTATGCTCCCACAATCCAAGAACACTGGGTGCCAACAGAAGCTGGAAGAAACAAGCAAGGATTCTCCCCTTAAGCTTTTGCAGAGTGTGGCCCTACCAACACCTTGATTTTGGACTTCTGGCCTCCAAAACTGTGAGAGGATTAATTTCTGTTGTTTTAGCCATGAAGTTAATGATTTGTTATGGCAACCTAGGAAACTAATATAGGGAAATTACAGAATACCAACATCAAAGAGAATATATTAAACAATTAGAAAACAAAAAAAACATTAACACTAAAACTATAGAACATAATTTAATCTTTGATAATTCTGAAATATCTTCATGAGTTGAAAGTTTCTTAGGGTCATTGTCAAAGCAGAAGAAATGCTAACAGAGAACACAGTAATAAAATTATTGGTTTAGTGGAGAAAACAGGAAAAAAAATTCATAGTCTTCCAAAAGGATTCTCTGTTCTGTGCTAGAAGAAGAAGGAGAAAGAGACAGAGAAGAAATATTTAAGATTGTGACATTTTAATAATTGGACTAAAATGTAATGTTTGAGGGCTAAGAACACCACTTGAAGGTCAATGAAATATTTCTATGGTTGCACAACAAGATTGACATAACTGATCTCACTGAATTGTATAAGTGAAAATGTTGAATTGGCAAGTGTTGTGTTATCTATTATTTTTACAACAATAAAAAATAAACTAAATTTTTTAAAGAAATATTTCCAATTCTTTACCTCAGTTCTTTTACTATGCAGTTGTAAACTTTTCTTTTTCCTGATTTTGTCAGAGTATTTTTCTTCATGTAGGAATACTGATGTTTCATACCTAAATTGCACAGAAAATTGGAATAATTCCTGAATTGCTTTTTTTCTTTCTTTTTCTTCATTTTAGCTTTTAATTATGGAAATTTTCAATCATATGCAAAAATACAGAGAAAAATATGATGATTCCACCATGTACCCATCACCCTGCTTCAATAATTATCAACTCATGGGCAATCCTATTTCACCTATACTTTTATCCCTGCTCCCATCCATTATTATTTTAAAGCAAATCCCAATATCATATCATTTCATCTAATACTTTAGTATGCATCTCTACAAGGTGTTTTTTCTTTTAAAAAGCATTATGTACAATACCATTATGACACCTAAAGAATTAACAATAATTCCTTAATATAACCAAATATCCAGTAAGTTTTCAAATTTCCAATTGTCTCCATAAATCTCATGAATTTTTTTAACACTTTGCATCAGAACCCAATGAGGGTCTCACATTATGGTTGGTTAGTATGCCTTTGTTTTCATTTTTATTTTATTTCACATCTACAAAGAGTTACAAGAATTACACAAAGCATTCCCACGTACCCTTCACCCATATTCCCTAGATGTCAACATCATGCCACATTTATCATTTTATCTCTCTATATATTATTTTTCTAACACCTAGTTGTAGATATCATGCCCCTTTTACACCTAAATTTTCCATTAGTGTGACGGACAGTACATAACCATAGTATAAAAAAACTAGGAAAGTAACATTACTCAATCTTATTCTCTAATCTACAAACCAAATTCAAATGTCACCAATTGTCCCAATGACATTCTTTTTAATAGCTTTTTGATCTGGTCATCTTACTGTATGAAACCACACTCCTGTCTTCTGGCTTTAGTCTAGAAGATCCCCACACACATGTTAACAGCAACAGGATGATCAAACTTGGTCTGGGTATTGATGAAGATGACCCTACCGGTGACAATACCAGTTCTGCTGTCACAGAAGAAATGCCACTCCTCGAAGGAGATGATGACACGTCACGCATGGAAGAAGTCAACTAAGCTCTGGCTGAGGAATCACTTGCACACGTGTTCAATACTTTATCTTCATTGTCTCTGATAATACATTTTCAAGGATTTTTTTCTTTATTTTTGTTAACATTTTAAAAATCTGTATGGCATGACAATAACTAAGGGGAAGATATGATTTCTTTCTACTTCTCTAAGTGTGATGCTGTGATACTTTAGGCACTAAAGCAGAGCTGGTAATTTTTTTCTAGTTTCACATTGACTTATTTAACAGATTGAGGTAATATCTGTCGTAAGGTGTGTGTAACCTAATGTTAACTCAGTGGTCTATTAGCTATTAAGCAAATTCCTTGGTAAACCAAATTTTTTGTCACTGAAGTGTTAATATATACCTTAATGTTTAAAAGAAAAATCTTTGTTAAAATAACTTGAGTTTCATCTTCTAGAACCTTCTTTTTAAGCCTTCCATCCCCTGTAGTTACCAACTCTGCACGTACTAGGCCTCTAGGTGTTAGTATGCTACCCTGAACCAACCCGATGGGACATAAGTATCCACAAGGCCTGTTTTCCAAAGAAAAAAGTATTGATTAGAGTAGCATAATTCTACACCTACCTAGGCTATTGTAAAGTCAGTTTGAAAAGTAACTCCACTGAGCTTGTGAGTGGAAGTGTAGTGCCCACATCATCTGCTGTGTCAAAAAGTTGTAAGAAATACAGTTAAATTAAAAAGAAAAACATATATATACAACAAAAACTTTGCCATTTTAACCATTTTAGGTGTACCATTCAATGACATTAATTGCATTCACATAATTGTGCAACCATCACCACTATCTATTGAGCAAAAACCTACTGAGCAAAAACTCATCACTCCCCACCCCACTTTAGCCCCTGGTAGCTCTAATCTTCTTTCTGTCTCTATGCATTTGCCTATTCCAGATATTTCATATAAGTAGAATCATACAATATCCTTTTGTGCCTGATTTATTTCACTGAGCATAATGTTTTCAAGGTTTATCTTGTTGTAACATGTATCAAAACTTCATTCCTTTTCAGAGCTGAATAAGAATCCATTGTATGGATATATTACATTTTGTTTATTAATCTGTTGATAGACACTTGGGTTGTTTCTACTTTTTGGCTATTGTGAATAATGCTGTTATGAACTTTCACGTACAAGTATCTGTTTGAGTCTCCGTTTTCAATTCTTTTGTATATATACCAAGTAGTGGAATTGCTGCATCATGCACTAATTCTGTGATTAACATTCTAAAGAGCCACAAAACTATTTTCCACAGTGGCTGTACCATTCTACAATTCTACCATCAATGTACAAGGGTTCCAATTTCTCCACATCCTTACCAACACTTGTTATTTTTCTTTTTTTATTATAGCCATCCTAGTGGGTGTGCAGAGTCCCTGGGTGGTGTAAATGGTTAACACACTCAGCAGCTAACTGAAAGGAGATTAGAGTCCACTTAGAGGCGCCTCAGAAGAAAGGCCTGGTGATCTACTTCCAAAAAATCAGCCATTAAAAACCCTATGGAGCACAGTTCTATTCTGACACACATAAGGCTGCCATGACTCAGAGTCAACTTGATGGCAACTGGTTTGCAGTGGGTATGAAGTGGTATCTCATTGTGGTTTTGATTTGCATCCCGTTAATGACAAATGATGTTCAGCATCTTTTCGTGTGCTATTGGTCATTTGTAAATCTTCACTGAAGAAATGTCTATTCAAATTCTTTGCCCAATTTTTAATTAAGTTGTTTGTCTTTTGTTGTTGAGTTGTAGTTCTTTATATATTCTGGAGAGTAAACCCCTATCAGACATATAATTTGCAAATACTTTCTCTCATGCTGGGTTGTGCTTTCACTCTCAACAAGGTCCTTTGATGTACAAAGTTTTTAATTTTGATGAAGTCCAATTTATCTTTTTTTTTTTTCTTTTGTTGCTTACTTTTGGTGCCATATTTAGGAAACAATTGCTAAATCCAAAGTTATATAGATTTTCCCCTATGTTTCTTCTACAAATTTTATAGCTTTAGCTCTTCTATTTAGGTTGTTGATCCATTTTGAGTTAATCTGCATATATGATGTGAGACAGAGGTCCAAATTCAATCTTTTGCATGTTGATGTTTAGTTTCCCCAGCACTATTTGTTTAAGAGACTATTCCTTTTCCATTGAATAGTCTGGCACTCTTGCCCAAAATAAATTGGCATAGATGTGAGGATTTTTTTCTGGGCTTTCACTTCTATTCAGTTAGTCTATATATCTATCCTATGCCAGTACCACACTGTTTTGATTGCTTTAGCTTTGTAGTAAGTTTTAACATTGGGAAATGTGTTCCTCCAACTTTGTTCTTCTTTTCCAAGCTTGTCTTAGATCTTTGGCATCCCTTGAAATTCCATACAAATTTTCGGATGGGTTTTTCCATTCCTGCAAATAACATCATTGGGATTTTGACAGTGATTGCACTGAATCTGTGTGTGCCTTTGGATAGTACCGTCATCATAACAATATTAAATCTTCCAATTCATGAACACGGTGGATGCCTTTCCATTTATTTAGGTCTTCATAAATTTCTTTCAGCAATGTTTTATAGTTTTCAGTGTAAAAATCTTAAATAAATTTATTCCTAAGTACTTTATTTCTTTAGATGATGTTGTGAATGTAATTGCTTTCATTTCCTCTTCCAGCTGTTCATTACTAGTGTATAGAAATGCAACTGCTTTTTGTGTACTGATTTTGTATCCTGAAATTTTGATGAATTTAATTTTTAGCTCCAATAGTTTGGGTGGGTAGTTCTTTAAGGTTTTCTATATATAAATTCTATGCAATGTCCATTAAAATTCCAACAGTCTTCTTTGCAGAAATGGAAAAGCTAATCCTCAGCTGCAAAGTTGGCCCCCAACAGTCAAAGCAATCTTGAAAAAGAACACAGTAGGAAGACTCACACTTCCTTATCTCAAAACATAATTATAAGGCTATAATAATGAAAACAATCTGATACTTGTACAATTATAGATATACTGACCAATGGAATAGAATTCAAAGTCCAGAAACAAGTACAAACATCTTCGACAAGGGCATTAAAGTCATCGACGAGGAAAGAATAGTCTCATTAATAAATGGTGCTGGGACAACTGGATCTCCATATACAAAAAAATGAAAATAGACCCATATCTCACACCATATACAAAAACTAACTCAAAATGGATCAAAGACTGAAATGTATGACCTAAAACCAAAAAACTCTTAGAAGAAAACGAGGGTAATGCTTCAGGGCCTAGTCTTCAACAATGGATTCTTAGATGTGACACCAAAAGCATAAACAACAAAAGACAAAATGGATGAAACAGATCTCATAAAAACTTAAAAAGCTTCTGCACATCAAACTACTTTATAAATAAAGTGAAGACATAACCTACAGGCTGGGAGAAAATTCTGGGGATCCATATATTGGATAAAACCAAACCAAACTCATTGCCATCAAGTCGATTCTGACTCATAGTGACCCTATAAGACAGAGCAGAACTGCCCCATAGGGTTTCCAAGGGGCGCCTGGTGGATTCGAACTGCCAAACTTTTGGTTAGCAGCTGTAGCTCTTAACCACTATGCCACCAGGGTTTCCATATATCTGATAAGGGTTTAATATCCAGAATATATAAAGAACTCCTACAACTTAATAAGAAAAAGATGAACAACCCAATCAAAAAATGGGCAAAAGACATGAACAGACACTTCACCAAAGAGGTTATACAAATGGCCAACAAACACGTAAAAAGACGCTCAACGTCATTAGTCATTAAACTAAATCAAACCCATTGCCATTGAGTTGAATTCCAACTCATAGTGACCCTATAGGACAGAGTAGAACTGCCCCATAAGGCTTCCAAGGCTGTAATCTTTATGGAAACAGACTGCCACATCTTTCTCCCACAGAGTGGCTAGTGGGTTCGAACTGCTGATCTTTTGGTTAGCAGGTGAGCACTTAACCACTGTGCCACCAAGGATCCTGCAAATCAAAACCCCAATGAGATACCACTTCACTCCTACTAGAATGGATAAGATAAAAAAAAAAAAGAAACGGAAAACAACAAATGTTGTCAAGTATGTGGAGAAATCGGAACCCTCATCCATCGCCAGTGGGAATGTAAAATGGTATAGCCAGGGAACAGTTCTTCAAAAAGTTAAAACATACAGCTACCTTATAACCCAGCAATTTCACTCTGAGGTATATACCCAGGAGACTTGAAAGCAGTGATACAAACAGACACATTTACACCAATATTCATTACAGCACTATTCAAAATAGCCAAAGGTGGAAACAATCTAAATGTTCATCAGTCAACGAAAGGATAAACAAAATGTGGTATACCCATACGATGGAATACTACTCTGCCATAAAGAGAAATGAAGTCCACATACATGGATCCACAACATGGATTAACCTTGAAAACATGCTGAGTGAAATAAGTCAATTACAAAAGGACAAATATTGTATGATCTAGTATGAAATATCTAGAATAGGCAGATGTGTAGAGATCAGAGTTTAATAGTAGTTACGGAGGAGGAGGGAAATGGAATCATTGTTTAGGGAGCACTGAGTTTCTGTTTATGGTGATGAAAAATTTGGCAACGGGTATTGGTGATGGTTGCACAATATGATTGATGCTTTTGGTCTCACTGAATTGTACACACGAAAGATGTTGAATTGGCAAACATTATCTACATTTTTACAACAATAGAAAAAAAAGAAATAGCATATCAAGAATATAATCTGGGTATTAAAAGCCGAACTGCTTTTTAATCATTATCCTGCTTTCTTATTGTTTAGTTTTCTCTTATTCTGCTTTCTTTCCCTCCTCTTATTATTGGATTGTCAGAAAGTCTCACAGCACGAACACTCCATAGACTATACAATGAGTCAAAAAGCCTGAATTAAATATGAAAAGAGAAGACCCATACTCTTGGAAATGGTATACATTTCTTCAGGTAATCCAGAATAGACCCAAATTACAAGGACAACCCTAAAATTACTTTTGTGCTCCTGGGACCCTATAGACTAGGAAAGATTCTGGGATGAACTAGATCCCAAACTAGTGTGGATAGTAGAACCACATAGAGAACTTCAAAAAAAATATTGATGCCCATGTGCTAGCACCAGAAATTGTGATTTGTTTTAGAGTGATGCCTGGGGATTGGAATTTTTAAAAGATAGCCAGGGAATTCTAACATGCAGATAAATTTAGGAATCACTGTAATAAACTATGCAAACCACAGGCTTATTCTGACCCAGAACTCACACCAACTGTGCTTATAAATCAGTATTTTAGAACTAATTTAGTCTTCCTTGTATAAAAACAAAAAAGCCCTTTAGCAAAAATGGCTCCTTTTTAGAGTAACCTTCTATACTTAGGGGATACACATGCAATGACTAGATTAAATCTTTGGGTAAGCTTAGCCCTAAGCAAAGTTGTGAAATAAGGGAAATTTTATCATGTACCCTATTCCTCTTCCTTAGCAGGTACTTTGCTCTTTTGACATTCTATCCCTTTAAATCTAATCTAATCTGAATCCCTGCCCTGACATCACCATTATCATTCTCTCAGCCCCTCTGAAGCTGCCCTCTGATCAGTCCCCTCTGCAGTCCTCCAGTCACAAAGGCAATGATTTTCAAGTATTGTTAATATGATTCACAGTATAAAATAATTTTTGAGATGCAGTATACATATATATAGATAACTGAAACAATTTCACAAAACAATACCCTTATGATGTGCAAAACACTCTAATGTCTTCAATTCTAATCTATTTCTCAAAAAAAAAACTAGTAGTGACCTACTAAGTTGATTTAATGACTCACCGATGGGTACAACTTAAGAGTCTTTTGCTGCTTTATATCCCCCATCCCCTGCCCATATATCTCCATTAAAATTCAATCTTCCTATTTTGGTATAATTATAGCTTCTACTCCATTACATGATTTTTTTTATCTTTTACCTATTTAAAAAAAGTATAAGTATATTTCTTAATTATGAGTTGCCTCAAATATTTTATGGAAATAGGGATGGTTTGGCATAAATACTGAATAAGTAAAAACATTGGGGCACTGTGTCTCCTCAGGTATTAATTGACCTATTTAAACCATACTAATGAAAGAAGGTAAAGGGACACTCCCACCCCCTTTCATCCCTTCCTAGGTAAGTTTTAATGTAGTCTTCTGGAAATAATTACCTTGCCTTTTGTCATCTAACATAATGGCTTAGTGATGGAAATGTCAGGCTAAACAAGAGGGGAAAAAAGACTTACGGTAGGTAGAGGAGAGGTATTGGTTTAGATGTCTCTCCAATTACAACGTGCAGGTAATTCTCAATTTCACCAACAGGTAAGACTAGCATTTAGTAGAAGAAAGATAAAGTGACATAAGCCCTGAACATTTTCCCAGAGGCTTCCTCTTTCTGATGGGTATTTTTTCTTTTTCAGTCATTTTTTAAATACTAAAAATATGGATTGGGTATTTCTCCTAGGAGCATATGAAATGCTAGAGTTTCTTCTTTAACTAATGAAAGTCAACCGGGCAATGCAGCACACAAAGAAGAATTGCCAGAGGATTCAAGGGGCTGAATTTCACGAACAGTACAAACCTAAGCCCAAGTGAAGAACATTTCTCTCTATTTCCTTCCTACATTCTCTTTAAGTGAAACTTACAGACATATGGATACTTGCTCTCCTATAACTGGAAGCCTATAATCATTTACAGTCTTCTACATGGCTATGAGAGTTGTGAGAAAAAGTGTAAGAATGGTTATTTGGGAGTTAAAACTATGCTCCTGAGAGAATGGTCACAAATACACATGATTCCATATACTTGCTATATTATGAGAACACATGTGAGTTTTATTTTTGGTGCTCTTAAACATGTAAAAAAAATATAATTCAATAAAAAAAAAAAAAGCTCAGAGTTTTTAACTTACGTTTTTTTGTGTTCTGGGCTCAAACCCCTAATATCAGGTGAAATTAATGGTGAAATTTTCTTCTCTGTTGTTTTAGAAAACTTGATGTACTTCTTGCTGTAAATATTTCTTGATGGCAAGTCAGTTGCAAAAGAATGAGAGCCAGCATCCACTATGTCAATATTTTCTTCTGCCTGGGAAACAATCAAGAATCACAATCAGCCATGCTCTTTTTGCACATATACATTAAATACGACATTATGGGTCAGGCTAATAATTCATTTTAGATCAAAATCCTCTACAAAATAGTGCTATCAAAGGGAATTTTGTTAAAAGCATTTTATTCATGAATGCATTATTATTCCAGATTAAGTACATATACTAAATACCTCCAACTTTCATTAGTGTATTATCCAGCTAGAAAATGTACAGCATTCATGAATGCATCTAACAGTTACTGATTCCAGCTCTTAAAGCATCAAGCTGCAAGTATACATGTACTGTGCAAAGCAATAATTTTTTATTATACAAAAATTAACTAGAACCTAGTAGCAATGAACACATTTGGAAAAAAAACAATGAAAGTTTAAAATATTCTGATTAAATGTCTCTTTGGCAGTTTGCTTAAGACAATCGAACCACATTACTTGATCAAATGTTCCATGTGAGATGAAAATTAAGAGTACTCTTTCAGTGACTTTTAGAATCTACATGCATTTGTCTTATAACAGAGGCTAGCCTTTAACAACTCATTTCTAAAAGGCAATCTGATTTCCTGCCTTGAGACACTTAACGTGAATGATAAAAGGATTCCTAAAAAAATGATCCAAAATAAAAACCAGAAAAAAAAAAGAGGTCTAAAAAGAGGGGCATAAAAACCTGTATCAAAGGCCTGGTGAATGGAAACAGTCAAATACTTTGTGAGTAGAAACTGACACAGAAGAAAAAGGAAAGAAAGAATCTCTGAAACACTTGGGGTTAAAGGTGAACAATTTGTGAAGTATAAACTACATGTTGTTGTTGTTAGGTGCAGTCGAATCGGTTCCGACTCATAGCAACCCTATGTACCACAGAACAAAACACTGCCTGGTCCTGTGCCATGCTCACAATTGTTATGCCTGAGCCCACTGTTGCAGCCACTGTGTCCACCTGTTTCATTGAGAGTCTTCCTCTGTTTCACTGATCCTGTACTTTACCAAGAATGATGTCCTTCTCCAGGGACTGAACCCTCCTGACAACATGTCCAAAAGATGCAAGACATAGTTTCACCATCCTTGCTTCTAAGGGGCATTCTAGTCATACTTCTTCCGAGACAGATTTGTTGGTTCTTTTGGCAGGCCATGGTATAGTCAATATCTTCACCAACACCACAATTCTAAGGCATCAATTCTTCAGTCTTCTATAATTATTCATTGTCCAGCTTTCACATACATGTGATGTGATTGAAAATACCATGGCTTGGGTCAGGCGCACCTTAGTTTTTAAAATGACATTTTTGCTTTTCAACACTTTAAAGAGGTCTTTTGCAGCAGCTCTGCCCAATGCAATGTGTCATTTGGTTTCCTGACTGCTGCTTCCATGGGTGTTGATTGTGGACCCAAGTAAAATGAAATCCTTGACAACTTCAATATTTTCTTAGTTTATCATGATGTTGCTTATTGGTCCAGTTGTGAGGATTTGCGTTTTCTTGATGTTGAGATTGTGATCCATACTGAAGGCTGTGGTCTTTGATCTTCATCAGTAAGTGCTTCAAGTCTTCCTGACTTTCAGCAAGCAAGGTTGTGTCCTCTGCATATCGAAGCTTGTTAATGAGTCTTCCACCAATCCTGATGCCATGTTCTTCTTCATATAGCACAGCTTCTCGGATTATTTGCTCAGCATACAGATTGAATATGTATGGTGAAAGGATACAACCCTGACGCACACCCTTCCTGATTTTAAATCATGCGGCATCACCTTGTTCTGTTCGAATGACTACCTCTTGATCTATGTACAGGTTCCTCATGAGCATAGTTAAGTGTTCTGGAATTCCCATTCTTCACAATGTTATTCATAATTTGTTACGATCCACACAGTTGAATGCCTTTGCATAGTCAATAAAACACAGGTAAACATCTTTCTGGTATTCGCTGCTTTCAGCCAGGATCCATCTGACATCAGCAATGATATCGCTGATTCCACGTCCTCTTCTGAATTCTGCCTGAATTTCTGGCAGCTCCCTGTCGATATACTGCTGCAGCCGCTTTTGAATGATCTTCAGCAAAATTTTACTTGTGTGTGTGATTCACAATATTGTTCAATAATTTCCGCATTCGGTTGGATCACCTTTCTTGGGAATAGGCATAAATATGGATCTCTTCCAGTCGGTTGCCCAGGTGGCTGTCTTCCAAATTTCTTGGCATAGACGAGTGAGCACTTCCAGCACTGCATCCGTTTGCTGAAACATCTAATTGATATTCTGTCAATTCTTGGAGCCTTGTTTTTCGCCAATGCTTTCAGTACAGCTTTGACTTCTTCCTTCAGTACCATTGGTTCCTGATCATATGCTACCTCCTGAAATGGTTGAACGTCGACCAATTCTTTTTGGTGTAGTAACTCTGTGTATTCCTTCCATCTTCTTTTGATGCTTCCTGCATCGTTTAATATTCTCCCCATAGAATCTTCACTATTGCAACTCGAGACTTGAATTTTTTCTTCAGTTCTTTCAGCTTGAGAAATGCCGAGCATGTTCTTCCCTTTTCGTTTTCTATCTCCAGCTCTTTGCACATGTCATTATAACACTTTCCTTTGTCTTCTTGAGCTGCCTTTGAAATCTTCTCTTCAGTTCTTTTACTTCATCATTTCTTCCTTTTGCTTTAGCTACTTGATGTTCAAGAGCAAGTTTCAGTCTCTTCCGACATCCATTTTGGTCTTTTCTTTCTTTCCTGTTTTTTTAATGACCTCTTGCTTTCTTCATGTATGATGTCCTTGGTGTCATCCCCCAACACGTTTGGTCTTTGGTCATTAGAGTTCAGTGCGTCAAATCTATTCTTGAGATGGTCTCTAAGTTCAGGTGGGATATACTCAAGGTCGTACTTTGGCTCTCACGGACTTGTTCTAATTTTCTTCAGTTTCAACTTGAACTTGCATACGAGCAATTGATGGTCCGTTCCACAGTCAGCCCCTGGCCTTGTTCTGACTGATGATACTGAGCTTTTCCATCGTCTCTTTCCACAGATGTAGTCGATTTGATTCCTGTGTATTCCATCCTGTGTATCGGACAATCATATGGTCTACTATGCCGGGAATGATAACTTGAACATGAATGCCATTATTGCATTCATCATCAAGAGGAACAGTTCAAGATCTATGCTGAAGTACAACACTGTCAGTGACAGGATAATATCCATAGGCCTACAAGGAAGACCAGTTAACACGACTATTATTCAAATTTACGCACCAACCACTAATGCCAAAGATGAAGAAACTGAAGATTTTTACCAGCTTCTGCAGTCTGAAATTGATCGAACATACAATCAGGATGCATTGATAATTACTGGTGATTGGAATGCAAAAGTTGGAAACAAAGAAGAAGGATCGGTAGTTAGAAAATATGGTCTTGGTGATAGAAATGATGCCAGAGGTCGCATGATAGAATTTTGCAAGACCAACAATCTCTTCATTGCAAATACCATAGACCACATAGCGTAAGAAAAACAAACTAGTAATTTTTAAAAGAATTCCTCTTCAAATAAATTTATAAGGGCAAAATGAACAAAGTACTAGGTATGAAAAAGTGAAATATATATGTATGTATACATGTACATAAACATAACACTCATGTCTTGGTACTTAGTAAGAAGCTCAGAAATTACTTCTTTGATTATAGTAATAAATACATGCCTTATATGGTGGCACCAGATCCAAGGCTTAAAGCAAATATGTTTTTACAAAATTATATATCATTAAAAGAATATGCTTAAAAGAGTAGGACTCAACACTGGCCAATGGATAAGAAATCCCCTCAATCACAGATAAGAAGGCTAGAAAAACTTGATATCTATTATATTATCTTTTGGTTAGACTCCCACATCATTAACTGCATTATCTACAACCTCAAGTATAAGTTCAAATCCTTTAGTCTCTTGAAAAATTATCCAGCCCCCTGCCCCAAGAAATACTCTCATCATATACCACAGATCTCTTGGTACTATGTGGATTGCTGGAATAAGAGTTCAGTACATGTCCACTGAAAAACCTCAAAAACTATCTCAGTTTTTAGGCAAGTTCCTTATAACTTTATTACTGTATGAATTTGCTCACTGATTATGGATGTGAGATAATATAAACTACTAAGAAAAAGAAGGAATTTTTAGTAACAGTTTTGAAAGAATACCTGACAGAACAATTGTACTTTAGTTTCCATCTTTACGTAAATTCTTCCCTTGAGGACTCAAAGACTGACGAACAAGTGTGACTAAGCAACAGTACAAAAGAATTTCCTGCCAAGAAAAAGGAAAAAAAATCATATGCCTGTTATAGGAGACTTAAGTAATTACATTTACCTACCTGAAGTTATCTCTTCGATGTAACACTCACTTGTGACATAGCTAATAGATACTCACCAACACAGATTTGTTGGCAAAAGCTAGAAAAAGTAGTTAGTAGATCATAAATCACAGGACTTCATCTAGTTTTTTAACTTTAGCTTTCATGGTACAGGAAGAAGTCAAGAAATACAATTTCAGATGGCATGGAAAGGAGAGAAATCCAATTACATTTATTTATTCTAAAAAACCGTGAGAGGCAGAACTACTAAAATAGTAGTAATAGCCAATGTTATTAAATGCTTACTGTGTGCTAGATATTATGATAAACATTTGGATGTGTGTTATTTCATTTATTCCTTACCAATATTCTTTAAGAAATTATCATTGCCCCCATTTCACAGACAAGGAAAATAAAGACTTGAAGAGATCAACTTGCCCAAGATCACACAGCCAGCAAGTGGTGGAGTCAGAATTTTAATTTAGGCAGTCTAACTGCAGAGCCCATAGTCTTCAACACTATACAATACTGCTTCTCAAAATAATAATAAGACAGCTAACAAAAGATGTTTTAACCAAACAATAGTTTAGCTTAACTAGTTAAAAAAAGTCTGCCTTGAGCATTAAGGTATTTTAAGTACTATCAAAATGGGATCAAACTGACAACAGCAACTTGATAGATTAGATAGGAACCTTAGGGGGAAGTGAATTTATGCTAATAGGGAGGAACACCTCAGAAAAGCAGAGTGAGAACGGTTGCACAGCTGGAAGAATATAATCAATGTCACTAAATGATACACATAGAAACTGCTGAATTGGTGTATGTTTTGCTGTGTATATTCTCAACAACAAAATAAATAAAATAAAAAATAATAATCCAGTCGCCTCATATGCATGTGAAAGCTGGACAATGAAAAAGGAAGACCAAAGAAGAACTGATGCTTTTGAATTATGGTATTGGCAAAGAATACTGAATATACTGCCAAAAGAACAAACAAATCTGTCTTGGAAGAAGTACAGCCAGAACGCTCCTTAGAAGGATGGAGAGATTTCATCTTACATAATTTGGACATTGTATCAGGAGGGACCAGTCCCTGGAGAAGGACACCATGCTTGGTAAAGTACAGGGTCAGTGAAAAAGAGGAAGATCCTCAACGAAGTGGATTGACACAGTGGCTGCAACAATAGGCTCAAGCATAACAATTGTGAGGATCGCACAGGACCAGACAGTGTTTCGTTCTGTTATACATAGGGTCGCTATGAGTCAGAATCAACTCAACAGCACCTAACAACCACAACATGACCTAATAAAGTTTTACACTAAAAAAAAAAAAAAAAAAAAAGATGTTTCGACCTGGTTTTAATTCAGAGAAGTTTTACATTATGCAAATGTGACAGCCAACACTTTTAGAAATTTCCAAAAATTTCTTACCCATTATATCTAAGCCACATTTTATGAGTTGTTGTTGATTACGTTGCTGGCTATTTATTGCTAGTTCCAGTTATCAGTGTCCTTCTCATAGTGTGAAGTTTAACTGCAAGTATTAATATTCTGTCTAATGGAAGGATGATGCTTTAAAAACATTTGTATTTATTTCTGAAATATGTTGCAGTAACTATTGAATGTTATATGTCCAATGTTCCCAGAATTCAAAATATATTAAAATGAAGCCACATTAAGAATACCCATCTCAGAAGACATTAGAAATCTATACAGGTTTCTCCAGCAACCAATTCTATGTCACTTCTTCTAGATCTTCTCTAACCAGTTCAATCTTTACCTCTAAACTACTTGGCAGTAGATTTACCATCTTCACTATTCAACTGGCACTAATCATTTGCCTTATATTTTTAATTATTCACATGTATCTTTCTTATCTCAACTATAGCCTAAATTTCTAAAGAACTGAGACTGTTATGTTATCATTCTTTGAATTATTTCACAATATCTAGCCAATGCTATATACATAAAATGAAGGAAGGAGGAAAGAAATGAGGGAATAAAGAAAGGGAAGGAGGGAAGAAACAAGAAAGAGAAAAGGAAGGAGAAAAGGAAAAGAGGAATTCCCTCCCTATTGAGCTACTCATCAAGAGTTCTTAAGTCAGCAAAGTACTTAATTAAGCAGAGTAAAACCAAAACCTGTTGCTGTAGAGTCGATTCCAACTCATAGTGACCCTATAAGCATTATTTAAATAAACCTTGAAAGAATGAATTGTTTCATAATTTACTGACCTGATTATCAAAAAATTGGCAGGTCTTAATCTATCGGGTGAATAAAATATCACATAACCCTCTCAAAGCTAAGAGAAAAAAATAGCATAGGGAGTCTCTTCCCCATAACTCTGCCAACAAAACTGTTCCTCAGGCTTTTAATCCTATGACACATCTGTGAATTTGCAGGAACACACCAAGAGAAATAAAGGGATTTCTATCCCTCTTCTCCAATCATCTATCCATTCATCCTTCCATCTATCAATTTATTCAACACATATGTATTGCATGCCCACTATGTTCTAGGCTCTGTTCCAGGCTCTGGGGGTATAGCAATGAGCAAAACAGAAAAAAAAAGTCTTACCTTCATGAAGCTTATAGTCTAGTGGGGGACAGAGAGACAATAAAATAGATAAATAAGTAAAATATATAGTATGTTATCTGTGATAAGTACTAAGGAAAAAAAGTAAAGCAGGAAAGGGGTAAATGGAGTATATAGTGGGAAAGGTGCAGGGGAATAGATAGGGTAGCCTTACTGAGAGAGAGACTTTTGAGTATAGACGTGAAAGAATTATATAAAGTCGGTAGACAATAAGTACCTTTAAAAAAAAAAAAAAACCGTTGCCATCGAGTCCATTCCGACTCATAGCAACCCTATAGGACAGAGTAGAACTGCGCTATGGACTTTCCAAGGAGAGCCTTGTGGATTCTAACTGCCGACCTTTTGGTTAGGAGCCGTAGCTCTTAACCACTACACCACCAGGGTTTCCAGTAAGTACTTAGGGAAGAGTATTCCAGCCAGAGAGCAAAGAAAGTTCAAAGGCCCTGAGGCAAGGAGCCTGAATGTTCAAGAGGAGACCCATGAGACTGAAGCAGAAATGACAAACAGGAAAGAAGGAAAAGAAAGAGATCAGAGACACCAAAGGAAGGCCCCTAGGTCACAGTATGAACTTTGGTTTGTACTCAGAGTGGAGGGAAAACCATTGGAGAGTTTTGAGCAAAGAGATGATATAATCTAATTTCTGAAAGGATCGCTCTGGCTGCTATGATCAGAAAAGCAGGAGAAAAAAAATTAGACAGGTCTGGGTTCTTAGAAGTCAAGTGAAAGAAGTGTTTCAAAAGAAGATTGACAGAGGCAAGGCCAAGATGGCTTCCTGTGGTCCCCCTTACAACAAAGACCAAAAAAAAACAAGTGAATCAATAATATATGACAATCTAGGAGTCCTGAACGTCAAAGACAAAGTTGAGGAACTGGACTAAGCAGCAGGGGGACGGAGAGACAGTTCAGAAGCAGTGAGGACTTGCCAGACTTGACCTTGCCGGTACTGGCATCCTGCAGGTGGCATCAGCTGGCGCGAGCAGTGAGGCAAGCAGTGGCGCTCAGGACCCGTTTTCCACATCAAGAGAGACCGAGTGGCAGAGAGTCAACTCAAACCTCCAGAACCAGCGAGAAATGGTGCTCAGTCAGCGGAAGATAAGTACAAGTGTCTAACCTACCGTGCAGATCAAAAAAAAAACCTTCTTTTGAGAAATACCTCTCTCCCATTTACCTGCTCCCTCTCCACTCTGCTCCACTCCGGAGTCTGGCTTCAGAGATTGCTGCACTCCCTGGGCCAGAGGTAGGACCTGTTGCGTGCCCTGAGCCATTCTCCCAGCTTTGGAGAGGGAACAAATTAGCAAACAGAAAAAATAATCTGCCAGCTCCCCTAAACTGGGAACTCAGGGCAGGCACAGCCCCTTCCCCTAGGTACAGGCATAAGGTCCACGGACTCTGAATGCCTTTCACCCCTACATAGATCTGTGTAGGCCCATTTCAAAAGCGTAGGCCCTCATTAGCACAGTATACAAGGGTATATACCTGAAGCCTGTTTTCATCTGTACCTGCTATAAGGGGGTGGCAGATTCATGACATTTGACACCACCCTGCCCATAAAGCAGGATCCTCACCTACCCACACCAGGAGCCTGAGGACTGGTGGCTCCACCCACTCCACCAAGGCACCCATGACAGGGGTCCAAGAAGTGGTGACTCCCAGTCCTTACAGCCAACAGCATTGGGTGCCTATAGTCTGGCTGCAAAACCCACCTACCTATGTGCTCTAGGGAACAGGGACATGTCTTCCACCAAGACAGCCAGACAGCAGTCAGCCCCCTGCCTTGATCAGCGTGCATCACTCCCTACTGCAGCCAGATACTTGTGCCTACACCAATCACCCCTGCCTTTCTAGGACTGCAGATGAGACCTGCACCATACACTCGGTAACTGATGACCTGGACACCTGAGCTGAATCCACACAAGAAAAGTAAACGGACTCTTGGGCTCACATACCTAGTAACAGCTCTGGCCACCTGAAGACAGCACGTGAGAGTTTCAAAGATGCCAGTAATAAACCTAGCTCACAAGATCAGTCTATTTGGGCATATCAAAACAAAACAAAACAAGAAGCTAGGATACAGTAAGCAAACATAAAATAAATAAATATAATAACTTATTAATGGCTCAGAGACAACAGTCAATATCAAATCACTTAAAGAGGAGACCATGATGGCTTCGGCAAGCCACCAAAACAAAGAATAAAAAAACCTTCCAGAGGAAGAGAACTTCTTGGAATTACTGGAGGTAGAATTCAAAAGACTAATATACAGAACTCTTCAAGAAATCAGGAAGGAGATCAAGCAAAATGCAGAACAAACTAAGGAACACACAGACAAAGTAATAGACAAACTTAACAAGGTTATTCAAGAGCATAATGAC